AAGATCTGCGCGAATTAATTGATTCTATTGTTTCATAGATAATAAGATTTTACATCAGGGTGTCTAGATGATATAATATTCCTTCGGGTCTGCCGTCTTTCCCACTGCTGTTACTATTATTAATGTTATGGTGAGCCTTTGTTTGTCTCCTACTTTACCCTGTTCTGTTCGGTGTCGGTGACGGCCAGGGAGCTCCTCGGTAAGGACTGATAGGCTGTTCATGCTGAGGGTGACACACATGGCTTTTGCGTCTGTCGCTCTGCTAGTGCGTGCATCGGCGAAGCTCATACAAACGGTGGGCGGGGAACGAAACTACATCCCCGTGAGTGCCGTCCCGTGCTGTGACTGGACAATAATATAGAGAAGCAGAAACACTTGACACAGTGTAGGAACAAGGGACACGCGAAAAGCATGTGTGTTTCAGTAGACTAAATAAGTCAGGATATCATCAATGACAATCAATGAAAACGAATTATAGACAACACCTGACTGTGAGAGGATCCCGATTTATGTTCGATTGAACAGGATTTCCTAAGCAACAGGTACATCGATCTAGTGATCTGTTCAACGTAAAGACTTCTACATGAATAATGAAGACTTTGAAAATAATTCTAAGCAATTATCGATCATTGCTAGTATACTCCTCAGTACCAAAGCTGGAAATTTCAGCTATTCGGATAGTAACAGATGGTTCTATGTATTATCATGTCAAAAGGATATGTACTAATTAATACCGCTTAGATTTTTATCTTCTAATTGGTGAAATTGAAGGTGAAGGAAAACGACTTATTAAAGTAGCGACCGACTGGATCAGTTACAAGTTGTGTAAGTTACAATCTTGCCGTTTAGAGTAAACGAATGCGCGGTAGGTGGGCGCTGAGACGGAAATCTTTTACACATACTATGAATAACTGTGTGCAGATCAGGCAAGTAATCCCATCGATCTATTTGAATGTAGTAGTTGACAATGACACTCCTAACGTGCTCCCTTCATTTTCGTATGCGGCCTTTGTACCTAGTAGCTAAAGCGAGCCGCTCAATCTTGATGCTCCTTTTGTGAAGCACAAAACAAATAAAAGCTGCTTTAACTAGACGACATTAAAATATATAAAGAAAAGTAGGGGAGAGAGATAAAAAGATATACCGTGTAGATAAATTGTAGCATGTTATCAAACCTATAAGAAAAACCAAGGAAAACGAATACAAATTGATCAAATCTCGGATCAAAGTTGCTCCTCTCAAGTAACTTATATTAGTTGGCAGAAAGATGCAGAAGTGTTGCGTAGCGGATAACGGTGTACATTGGACGCGTATAGTATATTTGTCATTTTCTTCAAATCAACAGGTGAACTTAAGCGTAAGGTGAACTTAAGTAACAACTGAGCGTTGACGGACAGAATTCATCTTTCCTTCGAACAGCGTTTTCTTTTCATCGTTTAGGTTAAGCTCCAATTATATTGGTTAGGAGTCAAATACAATGAAATACGAATACATTATTTGCCATATGCTTCTAGACGATTAAATTAGTATATATGTGCCTATTATCAAGGCTTTAAATTGGGTTTTTGTGATTTTTTACGCTTAGCTCAAATCGATGAAAAAACCCTGAAACGTAAGCAATATGTGTGAAAAAAAAAAGGATTATCCTCCTTTTTTTAGGCTATGGCGAAATTTCATTTCAAATGGCCTAATACTTCTGTAGAACTCTGAAAATCACAGCTAGTTTTATCACGAAAGAGCCAAGTAATTCCCCGCAAAATAACGCACCATAATAGGACATTTGAAAGCAAAGGACTACAAAGTAATTAGGATATTGCGTTGCCTAGATTAGCTTAACTTAACACATTAAGAAATTACTGACATTTTTTTATATTATGACGTTCAAATAGGATTACATTGCAAATCAGTGTAATTGAAACTGCGACAGGACAACCGGTAACGATGATGTAACAAGGTAATAGAACAGTTGTAACGTATCCGATCCCCAACTTCGATCCAGGCCGAAAAGCTCTAAGTTTGCTCCAGTATCGAAGGGGGACAAATAGCAAGATCTTATTAGGTAGCAACTAACGTGGAGCAAGGTTTGATAGGTGTCACGCAAGTCGGATAGCGAAAGCCATCCGGTCTCAAGAAGTAATTAGAATATTTTTCATAGCGCATGTTTTATGCGATATCCGATGCCCCCGTAAAGTAAATTCTATGTATTATCTGATCTCATACAAGTACTCTGATTATAGACGGAATCTTCGATGAAAAAGCATACTATTATCAATACCTATAGGTTAGTATGTGCTAGCTCAGGAAGTAACTCCACAGTATAGGTGACACATCAATTGCGGTCGAGAATAAGCTTAATAACACAGAGAAAGTTCCACCACGCAAGTCTTGCGTTCGCGTATTTAGATCATTCCGCGTCCGTTCTACGCAACAATCCTAACGACACCTATGAGAACTTCTAAGATCTAGCTAGGAAGGATTAGCTCTAGTCTAACAGCTAAAACAAGACACGTACGTTTGGTGTATATTTGCACACGGTCTCATTTATTTATTTTTTATATTTTGTCCACCCAGAGATAAATTGTTTTGGGGCGACGTGCAAACTCGAGCTTTTTTCGTCAGAATGATACGGCACATTGCTGATACACCATGTTTGAGGACAACATCATTCTTGTCAATCAGTATCTCAATGCAATCTATTTACAATTAACTTGTTGTTTATTGCACAGATTCCAAACAAACAAGCAGAGAGTATCGAAATAACAATAAATACATCCGATAAACTCAGAAATAATAAATAGTCTTTATCGAGTGTCGAGGTCCTGAGCTTACGCTGATGGTGATCACAGCTCGCGGTCCCGCGTCTAAGAATGTTCCGAAGGTTTCTTGAGGTGAGCGACCGCGGGCAGCTGATGGTGCTCATGGTTCGAGAGTTGACACCCGCCGCTGCGGAAGACCTCGTAGCCTTTGAATACCGAATTCGGTCTCCGGCCGGGCAGTAATCACTTCTTCGTTAGGGTCTCAGTCGGTTCGAAAGTTACAGTCGTTTCATGGAGCGACGAGTTCTCCTTCTCCCGGCTTTGACATGGTTGCACAAACTCTGAACTAAAGTAACTGGATCACTCGTTCTGTCGGTGACTTTCAGTCGTCGGATTCGTGAAACGCTTCGCTTAGATCCCAAATGTAATCGATCGCACTTTGTAGAATCTCCAAAGCGCTCATTTTTCGGCCATTTTTAGCCGGCAGAAGCTTTTCTAGGGTCTTCAGTAGATCGAGGACGTCGTTTTCAAGGAGCTCACCTGTTGACTCCTTGATCTTCATCTGCTCCACTTTTTCAACGAGTTGCGATTGTAGGATCATTGTGTTGAACTCGCGCACAGTTGACTCAACAAAACTAGATCAGCGCCGAGGTGGCCACTTGCCTAATCTGTCTGGATTAGACAAACACCTTCGACAGCGGAAAATGCCGGAAAAACGCAGCTGTAGAACTTCGTCACGCTTTAATCCTCAAGGACTGAACATCAGCTCTCATCTGACTTGGCCGTCCCGTAGAATCATGACTTTCTAGCGCGACGCTCCGCCCCCCTGGTGAGGAGAAGTGGAGAGGGGGTTACAGCATACACTCCAATTCCAAGCATTGTCTTTTCTCGTTACGCCGTCAGGGGGCGCCGTCATATCTATAGCCTACAGGTTAATTTCGAAAAGATAATGTTAGCTAGTTCCAATTAGACAAATTTAAAGAATACGACTTTTCAAGAACTGACCAACTTTCGTTCGGTGATAATCATCAAACTGTATATATCAAGCTTAATGTTCCAACTGTAGCAAAATTTAGACCAAGCCACTAGTAAATCGGCAATAAAAAATATGCTCGCGGCCATGATATCTTAAAGAAACTATTGAAACGCGAAGAAAACATAATTTGATTTGATTCCGATAAAAGGGAGAGCTAATCGGGCTAAACGTTATTATCGACTTTCGATTATGAGAGCTAAGCGCGGAGCACACTTGTTTCAGGTCAAGGTTAACAATGGAATATTTTACCATGATTTGGAAAATATCCAAATTGTAATACGCATGCAGTACAGGACTGTGCATTTCACTCTATTTAGTTTATAAACTCTACAATCATAGCTTTTTTCCGGCGTTTTATTGTTTAACTGAGGCCGTCAAATAGTCAAACCGATCGTACAAGCGGTGTTTATATCGTCTAAGCTATAATCCAGACTGATTATGATGACCATGATTATTGTTATTTTAGGTATTCAAATGAATATCGTTCTATGATATTTTTCGTATGAAAAGATTCAATTTCATAGACTATTTGTAAGCCATTATACCTCTCGCTAATAAGTTTTTTTTGATTATTTTCTGTTCTGTGCCATTAGACGAAATGAGTTACCGTAATTGGGAAATTGGCATGCCACAGGCTCCCGCCACTCCACCAGTTGGTTAGCTGATTTGGGTGTGAGTTTGTGACCAAACTCGAAAATCGAGATCTAATTAACATAAATGTCCAATCAATGCTCTAACGATAACTCGTCGGGTGTCACCTCCATCGGGAGCCAACAAAGCAGCTTGTCGGGTCTAAAGAAAATGAAATGAATCTTTATTCCAAGCGCTGCTACACTAACTATGCGGCGGAATTCTAAGAAGTCTTGCTGAGTGTCTACCAGTCGCCTGCTTGCTAGCTGGCATCATGCGAAATGCGCCGTCGCATTAGGCACGTTTATAAAGGGATGTATTTGAGAATTGGTAATTAGTCAAATATAGCGGTGTCTCAGCTGCGTGTGCGATTACTTAGGCCACCCCGAAATCTATATTGGTTTTAGATGTTACATTGAAGCTTGTGCACATTGCCATATCTATGAAGACCAAGCTGGCAAGCGTCTAGCCCTTTCTTTACAGTCTGTAGTTCCTGATTTTAGGCTAGACGTAGATGACTAGAAAGAACGTATACGATACACAATTCAATATATTTAAAAGTCAGTGGACGGTCTGAAAATCAGGAAACCCAGAAAAGAATATCAAAAGCCTTAACTGCGACGCCCTTCAAAAATCGTCGAGAGTCTGTTCACTACACCGTAAAGCAAGCAAACAAGCAAGCTAGGCCCTCCATGATCGTACGATACTTAAATGTTAAGAAAACAGGTATATTTCCAAATGATTTTAGTTTCTACGAACTGCTATGCTGCTCGAGTTCGTAGAACTATGATACACAGGCCTATTATATTGAATACGTTTCGTACAGTGGCGTTTGAACGTACAACATTTCAATGAGAGCCCTAATGCCACCGTTTTATAGCTTCGTTGTCGATAGACAAGTCATTTCTGGGAGTTTTTATAATCAACGATTTATTTGCGTCGCATCTTTTTTGGCCACACTCTTAGCTGTTAATTGGCATTTGCTGACGTATTGTGCATTACTGGATGATCTTGTGCTCAAGGATCAATGATTCGTCTTCCAAAGGTAGTTTTTCGGCCGGGTCTAATCGTCGATGCTCTTTGCTCCAATGCTTCTTCCAGGGTCATTTCACGTGCAAAGCATTCGCCTCTGTTGCAGGTCCCTATACGCAAATTAGACACGCAACAATCAGTCTAATCAATCATTCATATATGTGTACGCGTGAACACGTTGCAACAAAGTCAGGTAAAAGTAAGCGCACGCTGGAAACCCGTAATTAGCAAAAAATGTGTGGTGAGCAAGCCTGTCCTACCTGGTTCCTTCTTGCTAGTCATACAGATGCTTCCATTAGGGAGGGGGATCAGTTTGGGTGTCGGGAGAAGGCCACAAAGGACAGCGCACTCCTGATCGTCTGGACTCTTAATCAGTACATAACTGTTGCTCTGAAATGGTGACAAACGTAGAACACAATCCAACCTAAATATTGATTCGCTTTCCTTCGTCGGTTAACAATTGATTTGTTACAGCTAAACACAAAATAATTGGCTTGGAGCAGGCGCAAGTCATCGACGACGGTTCGATAGAGTGCTGTGGCGCTAGCAATGTTCTTCTACTCAGAAGCTGTTACTCATTGTAGAAAATAAATGGGTTACAATTCCTATTTGTTTATATTCTTAGCCAGCTATTTAAATTGACCACTATATGATGGCGGAGAATAGTGTATGTTAGCATTGGTAAAACGAATGCAACCTGGTTTGTATTTGTAAACTAAGCGGCGTCACAAATACGGATCTAACGGTTGAAAGATGGTAATAATAATCCCTATTCTGGAATCGGACTAAACCCAATTTTACTATATTGATAGAATGCTTTCATGAGACGATGTTTAGAATTCAAGCAGCACTATGTCTAATGAATATATATTTTTATTTGTCCGTTGCTTCCATAACCATGATTTAAGTAGAACGATTCTCTCTCTTCTGTGTTTAGATACCTCAAATTATATGAAAAATGTCACATAGGTCTGCTTGAATCAGCAGCTTGTGATCATTTCGAAAAGCTTGTCCACCAATTTCATAAATATAAATAAATGAACGACTGAGCAATCTGTTTTGGGAATATCAAAGCGAGGAAAATTATTTACAAGATTTAAATGTTTCAGCTAAATGCAAAAGCCAAACTGACTTTAAAACATGCGACTCCCTTGAAGCTTATTTAGAGGCTTAATTGCTTCTGTACGAAGCCTGCAGTTGGGGAAAGGCTGGAACCCTAATTTGACATACTCGGCATAAAGGCTAGTTTTAATCGTACCTGTCCACATGCATCGAAGCGGGCTTCCCATCGTTTTTCTGCCCAAGTGCTAGCAGCAAACAAACCTGGGCCACTTGTTAAAGCAATCAGAAGTGCAACGGCCGTAAAAATCACCCAAGTCATATTGCGTCCTGTAAAAGAAAGGTTAACTAATTGATAAATTAATATGTTGCATGTTACATTGCTACATGTTGAAAATCGCATGTGATGTTTCTTGATTATTAATTTTTGTGTGTAGATAGAACATTAACCTACTTCTTTCAGTCGCAAAAGCTATGCGTGTTAGTTACGTATGTCGTGATTATGTTTATTAGCATAGTTTTACCTATATATATATATATATATACACATCTTTTTGTTTCTAATGCGAACAGCGGAATCGGACTGAATATGCTGAATGTTTTTGTTTTCCTTTATAAAACCGACTCGCTAAATCGATTAAATTGTAACTGACCTGTAACTGACAAGAAACTTAATCGAATAATTAACTTATTCTTACGGAGGCACTTCATTTTACGGAAGTTAGGCTGTAAACAAAGTCGATTGATTTACAAAAACAGCTGATGAAATAAACTGAAAAAATATTATTGATTGTTTTGGAGCACGGGCAGCTCCTAACAACATATTAAAAAGCTAAAGAACTCAGCCCAAAATAGTCAAGTTATTTTCTCACCCACGTTGCAGTAAATGAGCATAATATATATGAATATAACGTAGACATTTCATATGTATTACGAAATAACCTTTTACATAACACTAGTTAGAATAGTGAAAGACTCACCTCGGTTCTGCCCCGTCTACAGTTCCGATGTCTTTAAACACCTATCTACGACGGTTTATCTACGCAGCAGTTGTGTCGCTTAGAACGATTTGTGTTGGTGTACTATGCCCCGAGGCAAAAGAGAAACATTCACATCATTTGTTGCGAGAGGGTTTTTATTAAACAACGACGACAGAAGCGCCCAGGTTGAAGGGCTGCTATAAGTCTATACGTCTAAACGCGAGTAACTTTCTCCTTCGCGGTAGTTAATGATACGTCACCTTCGTTATCACTTCGCTTGTCGCCGATAGAAACCGAAATCGGCAAAGGACATGCTCCTTAATAAGTATTGGCAGTTGTCTGATAACATCGAGTATTAACACTCTCCGCTCTTTGAATTATTATTATTGACCGTCTCTTTGTAACAATGTGATCTACACATGTAGATTCATACGCGAGTATCGAATGAAGCGCGGATAGTTCTAATTACGTATACCCTGGTAGCGTCTAGTGATGACTTAAAATACTCGTTTTTAGGTATGGATCTTTTGGCGTAATCTTGACGAGAGTGTAACAAGTCTCTAGGAGATACCATCACTCAATATGAGATCGATGTTCTTATGGTAATGTTTTGACTGCATATTGTTGCTTTCAAACGGTTGCATTATCATAGATAGAAGGAATAGGATAAGTGCCCAGAAAAATATTTTGAAACATTTACTTTGTCTCAGAATAACCCCAAATTTGCATGAAGATGTAACTGCTTATTAGGTAAGCTTTATTTATCCTAGTAGCACGTTACTGACTGTTATTTTCATGTAGGTCTTCGTTTAAGGGTTGCAATGAAAAAACAATAATATCGCAAGTAATCGCCAATAAAAATTCAGGATAGTGTGCTTCCAGGCTTTACTACGCTGGCTTTTTACTAAAAGGAATTAATGGTGAAACAAAACTACTAGAAGAGCATATAGTGTGTATAGATAAGAACCTCACTAAAAAGAGTATCAATAATACAGTGATATAAGCAACGTATAGCATTTAAAACGCTTCGAATGGTAATTAAATTTACCATCGTACTACCAACAAAAAACAATGATTGTGTTCGATCAACTAGTTGAACCGATTTATACATATAGTCTGTACAGTTTGAAGATGTATTAAATTCAAACAAGCTATGATGTTTTCTCTGTTCTTCTACAAATCAAACAATATGTCAGTTAGGTTAGTGATACTTTTATCTAATACGTCCTATAGACGTGGACCCTCTGTATTAAGCCATGCGGATATGGAGATTAGCAAGGCCATAAGAGCGGCGTCCATTCGGCCCCTGGTACTGCCCATCCGTCTAATCGTCAACCAACCTTATAAACGGCAAAACACACGTTAAAATAATTGCGCGAACGGAAGCTTCGTTGCTGCCGGGTCGTAAGTCTGCTCACTCACCACTCTCACAATCGTCATAGCGAGGATGCAGCCAAATGGACTCTCTTAGCTATTGGCGGAATGGCATGTAACATATCGTTGACTTAGCTGTCAATCATATTTTATCTATTTTTGCAAACGTACAGCTCTTAGGTATCTAACCTTTGGTTGAACTCATTCCCGAATTCTACGCCCCGCTACAGGCTCTGTTTAGGTCGATTTAGACCTACCCATTTTCCTTTGAAGCATTAGATAATAAATATCATAACATGTGTAGTAATAAACATTGCATTGGACATTATTGTTCCGGATAGCTGGCCTTTTTTTTAGCGCCATATAATGGAATGCTTAACGGCGGTACCGGACGTAAAACTCAAAAGATCCAACTCTTTTTCTAGCGCATGCTACGTGCATCTCAGCCTAGTTTTAAAGTTAAGACATTCCCCTAAGTTTAGTAGAAAAGCACGTTAGCACTGCGCCACCACAAAGGTACGATAAAATGTCTGTATAACTGCTGCCAGCACCACGAAGGTATTACTTAGAGAAGAACCTTGCAATTTAGGACTAGCTCTCGTTAGTTCTACTGTGTCCGAGTTCACAGATGTGAACAAAAAACTTTTCGGTTCATAACTTGACTATAAAATAAAGTTACTTTGTTTAAACGCTAGTTAATTATCTGAACAACTGGTAATCGTACGTTTGGAGGACACGACTCGAGTTAATCGTGCTAATCTTTTATTGTTACTACCCAGGTAATATAATCTAAGCTTGTTCCTGCAGTAAGAAACAATACACCCCTTTATTTATTTTTTCAGTTTGAGGGGATCGCTTCTGAGTTTTAATGGACTGATTCAGCCTCTGCCACATCATCATTGCCATCTTCATTTAGTGAAAACATACAATGCTACAGATTAGCACATCGGGTCCTTAGCATGACTGTGCCGTTCACAGAGAACTGATACGCAACTGAGTTTGATGAATGCTGGAAGTTGATGTGATACTTAACCACAACTATGTGTATTCTTAGCGCATACAGAGAACTTTACATTGGATCGAGCAGATATACTTTTAATACGCGCCGCATGGCCCCATCGTGCTTAACTAGAATGGCATAGATAAAGTCAAATAAGTGGGACATACCTACCGTGCAGGCGGCAGGTGATTTAGTCGAGACGTTCGGGATCGTCCTGCGACTACTTACGAGTACGGCCCCTGCATGTATTCCTAGATTGACTATACGATATATACTAGGCAATGGCGACTCTTATCGACGCTAGCTGATTTATTACATGCATAAGTAATGATCGACTTCTAGAATGACAAAGTTCAAAACGAAAACAACGTATAGATTTAGATTAAAAAACAAGCTGAGTGAAACACATTTACGTGTAATTATACGTAAAGCAGTAAATATCTTATGAATTGATTCAGAGTTGGTGGAATGGTAGCTGGAGCAGCGAGTCAAACGTTTGGTGCGTCGTTCATATCATATGTTGTTTTAAGGACGCACGCCATATTGACAGTATGTAAAAAGAATTTGCCCTGTAGTCACAGCAACAACAGACATAGAAACGATAATTGCGATGCTAGAACGTATGAAAAGATCGTATTTTATTTTTAAAAGCAATTCAGCCTACGCAGAATCAATCTCACTAAAACAAATAATCATATTTATCGTCTTCATTCGACACTGCATGCTTCAATATCTTGCTACGGCATGAAGTAAGATCCGTATACCGCTCTACACAGCTCGATCCGTAACTTTCCCGTTCCGGCCAACTTAAACGATGAACTATACTTTCTCGGCTGATCAAAATGTGCCACACTTATTTTGCCTTTGAAGTTTCCTGAGTGTCACTTCGTAGCTTCAAATGCGCGCTGTAGCCAGTCTGGCCATGTGGTTTTCGACGATGATAAGATCCCTTATCTTTTTTATATGGAGTTTAGAGTATGCGGCACTGGGGCATTCGAGACATCATCCGTTGAACAGTGCGCTGTTTCCGCTAGCTGATGACTGCGCAAAGTGCAGGCTGGGCCGTCGACGGTAATCCAAGGACCAGGCAGGCTATTGAAATGGTGCCGACCAGGAGTCGTTCCGGCCAAGTGAATTTAGCGGCGCCAGTCGTGGCAGTAGGGGACAGAGCGCGCGGCCGCCAAACCCGCGCTTCTATAGATGACCGCGCCTTCCGAGACGAGAGGAGTGGCCGTTTCACGTCGGTGCGGACGCGGCCTAACTAGTGCTTCGCTGCATACAAGCTAAGCTAGGCACAATTGTATACATGGTATAACAAAGCTAGCTATTAGCTGGCGGGCCTTTGTGCCCTGTATTTTGTGACCCATTGGCGTCAGAAACAGCAGCAGTGGCGGCTTCTGCCAGCAGCAGCACTTCACTACGAATAGTGTAAGGGAAGTAAATACCATTAAAAGTGGGTGAATCGTGAGTAGCCATGTAAGTATGTGGGGGGTTTGCGGATAGTTTATATGTAGGTATGCCTGTCGCCTGTGTGCGACGTATGCATATGTGTGCTTAGTGTAGTTCCACAACCGAAAGCAAAGCGGTGAAGGGCTCAAACGGTCACGTAGTTGACGACGTGCCCTATAGAGCAGGACTCTGAGTTCACTTCAGCCATGCAAGCCGGCAATAGAGTGCTCACCTCGAGATGATCTGGGGTTCTGGTGCAACGCCTGCGCCACTCCAGAATCTAACAACAGCAGAAGTCGCATGAAGCGAAAAGTCTCGGAAAGCACGTCGAATCTGTGACCTCGCCTTGGTGTATCCCCACCAGCATCGAGGCAGTCTGATCATTAAACCACGAATCAGTGGGTCTACGTGGGCCGCTAGATGGACAAACACCACCCACATACCCATCGTATGAGATGATTAAACGAGCCTAATTGCTACGAACGTGCCACAAAGAGAATGTATAACAGCTAGAAACAGTAGCGTACCAATGGACTGCTTTGGTTGCCATGGTTAGAGGTGAAGTTGAAGAGCTAATGAAATACATCAGAGCTTTTGTTGCATTGAGCTTGGTTGGTCTCTACTACTGCTACTGTTTTATGTCTGCAGTTACGAGCTACTTGTGCTAATAAAATACGAAGTAACCTTGAGCCGCCCTCTAGCGGTGGACCAATATACAATAACAAAATCCCCACACGGAGTGAAGCATCGCCACTGGGACGGTGATTCAAATGTCTTTTCTATTTTAAGGCGTTTTCGTTGAAGTGGAAATGCGTTATCCATTTCAGTCAGTACGCCTGCGCCGTTAGTGTAGAACTTTAACATTAGAATACTAAATCGGGCACTAGTCGGTGAAATGAAAATAAACTTAACGATAGAAGGTATTCTGATAACTTTTTTTCTTTAATTTAGATCTGATTGCGGTGTTCAAACAATTATACGAATACCTGAGAGCGCGCAGAACCGAACATCGAACGGGCGTTTTTCCCCTGTAGGCCAGTAACTACCGGGCGGAATCCTGCGTGTTATATTTTGTCAGTATTTTAATTTCCTGTATCAGTTAAGCAATCACGCAAGCCTGCGTGCCCTAAACACGGTATCTGAATAGAATTTGAAATGCAGTGGTAAAGCACAAAGGATGATTCGATTATTAAAATGATACCATTAAGCACCGGCAACTAAATGAGTGCGTACGTGCCTGTCGCAGTCTATAGGAATAACGGGTCCTTATGACGAATGTGACGACAAAATAAGATCGGGTTAACTAAACAAACCCTACCAAAATTTGACACCCAATATGCCTACTACACATACAGCTGTGAAACAGATTACTGGATGGGATCCTTTCTTTTTTTTCAGAGAAGAACTGAGTCAGCAAAACTATATGAGAACTCAATGAGCTTACGCTACTTCGGGCTTTCGAAAAGTTGTGCATTGTTCAGTAGTGATTGATTTTGTGATATCTTGATAAGGTTATAGTCCGGCACTTCAGTCCGTTAAGGGCAATAACCTTAGAAAGAAAGGACGACTGAGACTAGAAGTTAACCATCGGCATGATTGTGCTACACCTAAGTAACCCACAGGTATGAGAAGTCTGAAGGAGAACAGAACAGCAACTTTCAAACGGTCGCGTAATTCGTTTGCACTCGTTTAACATCGCCGATTGATAATATTGACAATAGTGTAGAAATGAAAAGGCACAGTAAGTAAAATAAGTTAATAGTCGGTAATAAGAAAATATCAAGAGCTTTCTTTCTTTTTACCAGACCCACGTCGACGAAAGGATACTTCACCGCGGTAAGTGGTTCCTAGTGCGTAAAGGTCTGTTGGTACGTTTGCTTCTAGGAGTACGTGATTGAAACAACAAGTCACCCGAATGGCCAGTCACTGTCACAAGATCCAATGCGTTAATCCTCTCTGAAATACGAGTGACATAACTTAAATCTCGAACTGTAACACTGAATATTTGCTACTAACACGTTTATAGGTTTAGAAGTACAATTGTGG